TCAGTCCCCGTCAGACCAGGCCAGCCGCCGCGATGGGCAAATTCCGGGATAAGCAAAAATGTCGGCTTTGGGGAATAGGGTCTATCAAAATTTGCGCAATCTCTGAAATGTCTTCGATATCGTGAACAGTTCATTCTCCTTCGAGGCGTTTCTTTTCTCATCTTTGTCGAAACTCAATGCCCATTATACAAAAATGACCTCTGACGGAACTTTGCCCTGCGTACGGATGACCAAGCGCCAAACAAGCTCCACTCACCGATCTTTGGTCCTTTGCTTTGAGGGCGGAGCTAACGTCGAGAGGCGGGGCCAAGGTCACTTCACAGCCTTTTACGCCGTTTCTAGAGCTGTAAAATACCTAGTTCGTTTCCTTCAGCAGTTCTGAGCCCACCCACATTTCATTATGTGGTGAATCAAACCAACACGCATACTGTTCTCAAAAATACTAATCATTTATGCAGGAGAAGAAAGAACGTTTCTGCACGAACATAGAGAGTACATGCCACGCGAACATCGCGAGCTTATTTACTGGGTCGAAGCAGAATCGCCGATACAGAAATCAACGGAAGGTCGTCAGCAAGCACTGGAGGCGCTCACTGCATTTCGCTCATCTCATTTGAATACAGTGAGGCGATTTACATAGTCGCGTGGAACGGTCCGAATTTATGCAAAGGTTTCTGTTTTCAGGTGGCATTATACATCCTCACACAAATGAAAGGCTCTTCGCAGGCGACTGGAACTGGAGGCAGTTCACTTGTGCAATTTTTGAACAATGTCAGGCTCAATACCAAATGAAGGCGTTCTCATTCAGATCTCCACTAATCTTGAGGCACAAAAACCATACATGAAAAATGTTTCTGGGAGCTGTAGTTATCCACAACATCACCAAAATCAGGCTAAAGCTTTCCACCAACACTGAGAACACCATACACATGCACTGTTTCCCGTTGCGAGACGTGCCGCAATTGCAGACCCTTATTGATCGCCAGCGAAGACTTCCTCAGCTACTCACTCCTAGCG